AAGTATGACGAAGCAGTAATTCCCGGTTTAACGCGCAAATATGCAAATTAGCCTTTTTCTCGTCTTCTATTTTTGGTGAATTCTTGGGTTTTAAATTAAAATAGCTGATAGACGCTTTGGCCATTTGCCTCGAAATTTTAACACATTATTGACAAGGTGTTCCCCCTTCAAAATGCGTCCGGACAGTTTATTACGGCGAGTGGAACAAAAATAACAAGTCCGCAATTAACATGGATATATAAATTATGCAAAAATAGAAAAGGATGAACTTTGAGGTCATGCTGTGCGACTTTGAAAGTCGTTAGAGAGATGAGTAGACGCATTTGAATTAGTAGTATACCAAGGTATCCAGTGATGTAATTTTACCCACAAACGGACTTGAAGTTTTTAAGCTAATTTTTTTTAAACCACTTTTGTCCAAAAAAGCATATTTTTGATCCAAAATCAAAAACGCATTCTGGATATTTAAAATAAAGACAAGTTTTACAAAGTTTGTATAATAAGCTTTCAGAAAATATATAACATGTTGGATATATAATACCATCTTCATTGTCTAATTACTCAATTAAAAAGCAAGCCAAATAAAGTACATCTCTACCTTAATTACCTAATTTGCATAATTAATTAATTTTCAGCTTTTGATATTTCAAGTAGTAATCATCACATTTCAATGACACTTGGTACATAGTAACTTAAGAACTGTGCATACCCTGATTAGTTTTTGGGTAAATATTTGTGCATATTAATTACCTTATTAGCATAATTAGTTAATTTTCAGCTTTTTGCCTGATATCTCAAGTACTAATCATCATATTTCAATGAGACTTGCTACATAGATCTGCTAGGACTATGCAGAGACCTGATTAGTTTTAATTGGATATTACTTACCTAATTTGCATAATGTTCCACTGATGTATAAAGAACCACGAATTGGATTTTAATGAAACTTTTAAAGAGAACTATGCAGAGACCCAATTAGTTTTCGGAAATATTTATGCTTATTAATCACCTAATTAACATAATTAATTAACACTGATATCTCAATTACTGATCACATTTGAATAAAATAAAATTTTCATACTTTCTAACGTCTCCAGTACTGTAAAATCTGTAATAAAAGCAGCGGCTGCTATTAAAATGTTACAATGCAACAGAGGGGATGCGGCTTCTATTAGAGAATCTACACATATGAGAAATGATGAATTTTTGCTTCTCAATTGTTTAAAAATAATGGGTGCGACTTCTATTAGGGATGCAGCGTCTAATACAGATTTTATGGTAATGTCCATTCCTCTGAGATGGCTTGGATGATTTCCTTCAATCTCTGTATGCATATGATGAATATACATCCTGGAATTCGGTTGCACATTATATTTTTAACCAGTTGAACCAAATATTCTCTGCCTAGTGCCGTACAATGCCAGCAACTATTGACCACATGACTATATAACCGCAAATACCTCCATAAATCTGGATCACTGCTTGGAATAAACTTAAATACAGAATAAAATACATTCGCAATGCAGATTTAACACTAATTATATGACAAGTAAATTTAGGTTTGTAAATTTGCATTTAAAAAAAAAGTGTATGACATGTGTCAAAATCAATAATTATGTGACAATTTTTAAACAAAAAAATGTTGATAATTATTTTGCTCCAATTAAGTCAATTTAAATTCATTTTAATACGGTATCTGTGCAAGTCGTTGGCGAATGAAGCTTAGAGTGTACATTGCTTATATATAACCCTGTAAAAACCCAGCTCATATGCCATGATGTCACAGCACTGAAAAAAACGCCATCTCCTTTTAGAATGGTCTAGTAAAAGGTCAATTATTACTGGCTTTTGTTTTTACTTGTGAATTCAAATTGTGGGTGATTTTTAACTTGTTACTGCTTTTTTGTCATCCTACGAAACTTTGTTTTTGAAAACTGACTTTCTGGATAGATGTGACTTCTGTGTGCTTACCCATCGCCTCAGTTGACTGGTCACTCAGCAGTGTAAACTCACTGTGTCTTTCTGCCTAGCCAGGAACCTGTGGTACTTGGTTTAGATGAATGGCATCTTGTCGAGTGGGGATGATACAATCATTGGTTGAGTGTTCTGCACATTACCATCACAGTAGTAGGATACCACTGTATATGGGTTTCCTTTCTCTTATCTTATCCCTCTTAAGGGTTAGCTGAGAGCTTTTTGTTCTTTAATAAACTTGCCCAACAAATAAATAAATAGTTGTGAAATAGCAAATTGCAATTTTAAGCTTTCTCTAACAATCATTTATGTTGTATTTTTTGTTTGTTTGTTACAGGTATGGGGTGATGCGTTTTCCCAGATCTTCTACTCATTAGGACCAGCTTGGGGGGGCTTACTCACTATGGCGAGTTACAATCGATTCCACCATAACTGTTTGATGTAAGTATGCCGAGTCGCTGCATATGAGGATGCTGTTTAGTTAACAACCAAGGAAACTATATTGGTGCTTCACAGAGTCACTTCGTGTGAGGGCGCTGTTTAGTTAGCAACCAAGCAACTATATCAGGGCTTCAGACTACATCTACATTAGTTTTTTTTTTTTTTTCTTCGTGACTCATTTGAAATTTTTTCTGTCTGTTTACTTGGTTTGGTGCGTGACTGTTGTAAATAGTGCATTTCATTTTATTTGATAAATAAAAACAATACAATAAATAAAAGCTAGCAAATAGAAGGTTCATACATAATTGTGAATAAATATTTAATTTAGCGTAATTAAATAATGTGATAACATCTAATTTGATTGAGAAAGGGGCTCAGCTGATATGCAAGTTTTCTGGCGTGATGCTGTCCTCACTGTCAATGGTCGGTCACATTAATGCTGTAGTAAAGTTCACTGTCTGGCTCTGCATTAAAGAATGACATTTGCTTTCATGCCAAAGTCATTTTTTTCTTTCTCCATCCTCAATATATAAATTGTTGAGCTCACTCTTATGATATATGCTTCGGCTACGGTACATGTACCTGTGTATGGTTTTTGTTGGTTCTTGTGCAAATTATATTCAATGTTGTTTTTTCCACTAACCTTCTGTTATCTTTGTTATCACAAGTTCTTGAGGGTACAGTTTCCTGTGACACAACCATTTCCAGACTAACTTAATAAAAAAAAAAATTGATTTTAGATGTTTTAAGGGATGAATTTTGACAAAAAAAATAACCTATCCCACTTTGAGGTATTAAAACATAAAAGATGTCTTACAAACCTTTACTACATCCTTAAAGCAGGGGGAGTCATCACCTGCGCATGCGTCAGATGGCCATAGCGTGTCATTGTTTACAAACAAGCGTCTACCCATGAGTCTTTGCATTTTTAGCATGTGTTGTTAACGTCACTTGGGACTCAATTCCCGCGCGTGCGCATGTGACGACCCTCCCGCTTTAACGCATCACCTGCTTAGTTTGGTGTTTCATTTCGTCTATGAATGCTTTAATAGGACAATGTGTTGTATACAAATAAACTGTATAACGCATACACAAAGTTCATATTTTCAGACTGGAATATAACTGTTTTTATACCTGTATTTTATTGTTATATTAATATTTTTTTTTTTTTACTCTTCCAGGGACGCCCTGATTGTACCTCTTGTAAATTCCGGAACTAGTATCTACGCTGGATTGGCTATATTTTCAATCGTCGGTTTCATGTCTCATGAACTGGGTGTACCAATTGATAAAGTTGTTACATCAGGCAAGAAATTATTTGTTAATAATAATATTGCACACATTTTGAAACTATACAGAGAAATGATCAGACCTCATTTGCATTTACACATGATTGTTTGCATCATGTTAAACAAAAAAATAATCATTTAGACGCACACATACCAACTTTTCATACTTCACCTTACCGATCATTTCTATTTAGTTTAACAACTGATTAAACAAACAAAAAATCAACCCAAATATACATAAAAGTGGAGGTTACAATCATATTTTCTGTGTACATTTAATGAATTTAAATATTTTAAATCATTAAACGTTTTTCGGCATTCTTAACTTCGCAAATAAATATTATTTTACAAGTAAAAATTAGGTTTACATTCAGTGCAAAAGTGTACTTGAAATTAGCACTGGATCTTTTAAGATTGTTAGAACTATGGAAGCATGATCAATTTCTACTAACTTGTATTATCTTCTCATTTGCAGTTAAATTTTACCTACTCTTACTCTTTACAGGCGTTACTACAGTTACTGAGAGGAAACAGCAGCTACCTTTCTCTTGTGTTTACACCACTTACTGACATCATTGGTGATTTTATGCCCACTCTTTTGTTCATTTCAATATTTCTCTCCGCAGGACCTGGTTTGGCGTTTGTAGCATACCCAGAGGCCTTGGCTCGTATACCGCTAGCTCCGTTCTGGTCAATTCTTTTCTTCTTTATGTTGTTTACGTTAGGACTTGATAGTCAGGTAACTGTACTCCCCAAGTACTATGTAGTTTGGTGAGGTTGAGGAAGTTTATCTTTTGCATTCAAGGTGGTAATTCTCGTCGGAGCAAACTAACTTCAGTTGAGTTGTATGATTATGCTTATTATACATGAATATTCATTTTACAGAGCAGGGCACGCGTCTCCAGATAATGGTAATCTGTTTAATTCGACGAGTTATATCTTAACATTTACTTGCACCAGTGTTCTTATAGTCTAGACTTGATTGCTGTTCTGTTTCTATTTAGTTTGGCATGGTTGAAGGCGTATGCAGTGCGATCACGGACATGTTTCCAAATGTACTCCGCAAACGAAAGACATTTTTCATGCTGGGCCTCAGCATTGTCAGTTTCCTTCTTGGGTTACCACTAGTTTGTGAGGTACGTTTATACAGATTGGTTCACAAATTTTATTCAGCAGATACTGCAATGTATACACGAATACAGTGATTAAGGTTGAATCAAGTAAATATTATTTATTTTCTTGTCATTTCTCTTCGTGTGTTACGCTAAAGACTGGGCAAGGTGATGACATTTTTGTTTCTCTTTACGAGTTTACTCACTATCACTGCCATCTTGGAAGTATCACGGTAATTTTTTAGAATGTAACTGCGATTGTTAATTTAATTTGTATGAATGATTTGATTAAATTTTTTGCTAATTTTGTGTTGCAGGGTGGTATATACATATTCACTGTGCTGGACTGGTACACTGGAGTCATCTCTTTATTCATTGTTGCTCTCGTTGAATGCCTGGTGATTGGATGGATATATGGTAAGGTTTCATCACATTATGCAGATTCTAAAATGTTTTGATTTCTAGATGATCGACTTTTGGGAAAGAAAGATATTACGACACAGTCGTGTGCAAGATCTGATGTTTGGTCTACCGGTAATAGTTTAAAATACATTCTGTTGGACAATCACAAATAGTGTTAGTTTAGTGGCATAGTTATTGTGTCAGACCTGTTCAAATCTAACTGGGGGTTGGGCAACAAAAAAAGTGGTCAAATCGTACCCTGGCTGAGTGCGTAATGATGTGATTCATTCGCCAACAGATGTGCATCAAATTATCGTAATTTGGTTATGATAGGATAATGGTGACAGTCTTGCCACGTGACCAGAACATTTAAAAAAAGTACATTCTGTTACCGTTTCGTAATTGGGTCAATATGGAGATAAATAATCAACCATTTTTCATTCACTGCGAGAATCACGCGTTAGGCATAAAATCGAACATAAAAACAAGACAAACAAAGGTCATAGCGTCGTAGTGGCGTCAAATATCACGTGGGATTTGACAAACGCGAAACTATTTTGAGGCCATTTCCGTGCTTAATAATGTGCTGTACACATTTGATGATAGACAATTTCAATTAAGTGAGGGTATTCGAAAGCAATATTTCTCTGTCGAAGATCGGTCGGTCGATGTGAGTTACGAAATGAAAAAATTTGAGTTCAAAATCAAATCGTTCGATTTTTGCGGCAGATGTTAGACACACGTTTCTTGTGCATCTTGCGAGATCTCGCAGTTGAATGGAAAATCACCTATTATAATTATATTAGGTACATTACTTTAGTTCAGTGGAATATTTTATAGCCTAATTTTTTTTTGTGGCAAAACCAAATAGTTAACAGTCCAGTTATTTGTTAAGTAAGTCCGCTATATTTTGTTTGCTAACTGAAGTTTTTACAAAGGCTAGGTGGTGAGTCATTACCTAATTTAAATATTCTATGATTCAATGAATAAGTCTATTTTTCAGAAATGTGACACTCACTGTAAGCCTTGCGTTATTGGAAACTTTGAATTTAAAATTGGTCAAAAAACATACAACATGAAGTCCAGGATTCGAAAGCTTGTACGATTATCCAGAGATTTTAGAATTTTCAAATAGCAAGTCACAGGCAAAAACTTTCAGAAAATTGCTGCATTAAGAGTGTGTTAAGCAACCATCTCTTTTCTTAAATGAAATAACCATTTCTTAAATTTTAACAGGAGCTGATCAGTTCTATGATGACATTGCTATGATGTTGGGATCACGGCCAAATCCTTGGTGGATGATATGTTGGAAGGGAATTACTCCATTGTCTATCGTAGTGAGTATTAGCTATTTTTTCATAATATTTGCACATAAAATTGTAGCAATCATATTTATTTCCAGAATGCTTGTTTTTAGTTTTCCCATACAATGTAATCTGAAAACACAGGGCCTTATGCTATGGGTTCCAAACATTTGATTTATTTCTCAGACTTGCCTGGATTTGTTTGATTCAAAGTTGACACAAAAACAAGCATTATGCACATTGACTTTGTTTTATTTATGAATCATTAACCATAATATAATAATTACTGATTGGCCATTTCTTTTCCAAAAAAATATTTGAACATGTGATCAGATTTAGTACAGACGTTGCTCATGATTGGTTATGGGTGCACATAATTTTTAGTCCCTGTTCGGACATAGTCTGAAAATAGACTAGGGAATAGGGAAAATAGTGTGTGCCCAGACTTATCTCTTACACATGCTTGGACCTATTACATTCAAGCTTAATACATATATCATACATAATATCAACATATTCACATCAATTTGTTTCACAATCTCATTCAAGATGGCCAAATGATGGCCATTTTGTGTGCTAAAAATCATCAAAAATCGAGCATTTCTGGCATTCCGGAACTGAATATCAGTCATTTATGGACGTATTTTGTTCAAACTTGGTACATACATTTGACATTATGGGTCCCTGTTCATCAGATCAGATTCAAAATGGCTGACTGTGGTGGCCATTTTGTTTTAATGGATGTGGTTCCAGAGCCATATCTCTGACATGGTTTGACAGATTGTGTTCAAATTGTATATATTCATTATACATCATGTCATAGATTAGTTTGATGATCTGATTCAAAATGGCTGATCGCTAGCCTCTTTGTTTTAATTAATGCTGTTCAAGGGCAATATCTCTCAATATGGACATATACTCGTTTGATGATATGACTGAATGTCAATCATTTTAAGGTAGCGAGACTATTATTTGCTTACTTGTTTTCATCTTCTAATTGTGACCAAATGACTACAAATAGACCCAGGAAAGTATATATTTTTAGAATCGCCAGACTTCAAGCTTTACAAAAGTGTGTTTGCCATGCCCGTATCTGCATTCTATGACCCATTACTTAATCAAAGGTGAAAAATTACTTTTTCTGTAAAAAAAAAATTACGCATTTATGCTGGCGATAAGAAGTATTTTTTTCACTTTTCCTAGTTGTTCAATAGTCTGGTAAATTGAATGTGTCTGGTCAGTTTCATGCAAGCAACGCGTTTTAAAAA